ACCTGCTGCCTCTCCAAATTAATGAAAGATACAGGTTGTGAAGTCAGTGCCAAAGTGAAGTCAGAAGACAGTTTGCTGTCAGTGCCAAAAACAAGGTGTGGTCTTACCCGGATTTTGCGTCTTCACTGCTTCCAGTTCCAAGTCTACCTAATTTGTCATGAACATGAGGATCTCTCCACGTCACTATATTGTGTAGTACAGTATATCCCTCTACACAAGAGTACAGTTTAAGTTCCTTTACATACTGAGACTTTCAAGGCTTTTGCAGAACATCACTGCCAAAAATGTCCTCTATATAATCAGTGGCAGATAGCACTGTCCATACAGCACTGTGGAGTTGCAAGGTGAGCAACCAAGGAAAAACCTGACCTGTAGCAAAGAATGGGTTACTTGCTTGTTAGCCCACCTCAATGATAACATGCTATTTCCAGGGGTTAGAAGACCAGAGCAAGAAGGAGAACACACAAAATGAGAGTCAGCTCTTTGTCCTGGACATGACTGCCCCTGAGGGGGTGGGAGAGAGCAGTTCGGAATAGTACCTAGGAACCTGAAAGGATTGAATTTGAAAAATCAGAGGAGAGAGCAATGGAGAAAGAAGAAAATCCTGATTTCTTGACATCAAGGAACAGCATGAGGATCTGTGCCCTGCTCTGGTGACCCATAAGAGCTGGCACAATCTTGCTTCTCTCCAGCCTTTCTAGTTTATAGTAAATGCTGATTTAGTGTACTGTGTAGTCATTGATAGTAAAGTCACCTGCTGCCCCGTGTAAGTAGTGACACAGAGGACCATTCTGTTTGCCTTTCAGATGCCATGATAAGTCAGAAGAGGTTTCTGCTCACACTGTAAAGAATTCCTTGCCAATCTCCTCTAAGAACCAGATAGTGAAGGAATCAAAAGGATTGTGTCAACCAAGGCTGGTGCACAGTGCCTCAGTCCACCAGCAGGCCAGGGAGGACATCTCCTTTGCACAGAGGAGCATATGACAGAGAAGACCACCACAGTCAGCCCCTGGGTCTTAATGTCAATGTGCAGGGCAAGAGGATTACAAATTAAAGGGAACTTTGTTTAATATGCTTTTAAAAACAAAAGAAACTAAAGGACAAAGACCTGAGATGACTTTGAGGCATATTTAATTGTCTGAAACTGGGGCCTACCACCTACGTTCCCTTTGCCCACAAATAAAAAATTAAACCTTGTGAGTTTTGCAATGAGGATAATGATGATGATGATGATGATGATAGAAATCATGTTTTCATAGGTCTTTTGTTCCTAATATCTACACTCAAACCTGGCTTAGGCCATCAGTGACTGGAACTCACTACTGCCTGACACCTCTTTGGCAGTTCATACGGAAAGAAAAGGTGGTCTCAAGCAGGCTTCTCAGGGATGACTGTCCCTAACAGAGGAACCCTAACCACAACAAAAATTAACTGAGGTCATTTTGGATAGTTACTGGCTGCACACAGCAGGTTGAATGGGCGAGGAAATGGAAGTCTACTTGTCTTTGTCAGGATGGCCTCTCCATTCCTCCTTTGTGCACTTGGACAAGGTAGATTACACTGCTAGTTCACACTGCTAGGGACTTTGTCATCATTGCCATCAAATTTCAGAGGTACGCTGGTGGGTTAATAAAAAGGATTGTTGTTGATACCACTGTTTTCTAAGAGGGCTGAAGTCTGCTTTTAACTAACTGTGACCTCTGACAGGAAATAAACTAAAATTAAAAAACAAAACAAAACAAAAAAAACCAACAAAGAACAGTAGGAGTCATTCTTTATTATATATGCATGTATATGTTTAACACTGTTTTATGTAGACAATTGCCTAGAGGTGCCAGTGTTACGTCTGGTTGTTTCATCATTATGAATGTCTGAGAGACTATTCTACTTTTAGTCCGCCTAGTGTCCCACATCTTCTGTCACAGCTACTCCAAAAATTTCTTTGGTGTTATTCTTGGGTTTGTAGTTTTGAAATGAAGGCAAGTTTCCATTCCTTTAATGGGAAATCTCCAGCAGGAGAAAAAAAACTCAGTGGAATTGTTCCTGTCTCCCCAGCTGAATTAGGCATTCTAAGATCATCTGAAAATTCATCCTTATCCAAAGATGTTTGATAGGACATATTAAAAAGTTATGGTGCAGTAAAAATATCATTTCTTCACCAAGGACACCAAATATAAGGTCTATCAAATAAAAAATATCCACCTGAGACTTTCTGAATGTAGACTTGATGTTGTGCTCATAAAAGAGTAGTTGACTAATTTATTTCTAGCATAGAAAAATGGATTAAGACACAGATTAGAAGCTGTAATACTCAAAGAAAAAAAAATATTTTGTACCATTTGCGACCCAACCTCTTTGTAAAAGGAGACAACCTTGTCTCCAAACTCTCTCTGGTTTACATTTTGGTCAGTGATTGTGATAATTGTTCTGACAGTTTCAAATAGAAACTGGGATCTACACTTAAATAATAAGAACAACTCCCAGAATGGGGTATGACAGGCTTGTCTGCTGTCGTGGTTTTGCCCACCAGCCCATCCCTGGGGCTGAGGATGGTTTTGTCCAGGTGATTTCCGGACAAAAAACCAATCAAAAAGTTCAGTGACGCCTTTGCTAATTACATCTTTAAGAAAACGGAAGAGAAGGTTGGTTACGCAGCTGAAATTAGGAACAGCAGCCATGTAGAAGGGTAGTGGACCCGAGGAGGGCCAAGGCCCCCTCCTCCCCGGCTTGGGCCGGGGGAGGGGGGCAGGTGCAGTACTGAAGCCTCCTTTCTCTTCTGTAAAAGAGTGAAGAAAAAAAAAAAGGTTTAAAAGACGAACTGCTTAGATGAGAAACCGCTGCAGAAGAATTCCAGCCATGAGATAACAGGATTTTCAAGGTCAAAGTTGCAGTCGCAGAAGAGAGAAGAAAAGTTCGAAGGGGGGAGAACTGCTTTTTCTCCTTTTCGCTCTCCCTGCCTTCAGCAGGGTAAAGACTGAAAAATAAAATCCCTGCCACCTGTAGAAATTTGTTGAGGTGAAGAGACCCCCCGTGCGGCTCACAGAGGAGCTTGTGGATGCACCAGAGATTTGTGACTTTAACAGAAAAAGAAAGCCTTATGCTGGAGTAAAAGCGGCTCAGATGAGGCAGAGTCCTGTTAAAGACTTTGTGACCCTCGAAGGGATCGATGCTTATGCTGGAGCGAGACGGCTCAGATAAACTTGGGATCTCAGTGAGAGATCCATGCTGTTACTGAAGATTTGTGACCCTGAGAGGACCTACGCTGGAACAGAAAACGGTTCGGGTAGCGATGTTGGGATCCATGTGTGGGATCCATGCTGCTGGTGCTAGAAATTTGTGACCCTGAGAGAACCTACGCTGGAGCAGAAAATGGCTCAGGTGGGATATTGAGATCCGAGTAAGGGATCCAGACTAGACCCATGCCGAGAAGTCAATCAAGGACTGTTCTCCCATGGGGAGGGACCTCCATAGGGAAACAGGGGTGAACTCTTAAACCATTATCCCCTGTAACCCTGTGGAAGAAGATCCATAGTAAGCAAGTGTCCCCTTGCAAGCCTATGGAAGGAAACCCTTCAAGACCTGGGTAACCCCCAGCCTTCGGTTTTAACCCAGGAGGGGGGTAGGCCCAGCTCTGGAGGCCAACACAGAATGAGAGAGAGATAAAGAAATTCCAGCTGCGACGAAAGTGCTGCAGAGTTACTGGAGAGAGAGAGAGAGCTGGAATTCTGAGAACAGAAAAAGACTGCTTCTCCTCCTTGGACTAATATAAAGGGAAATGGGGATAGAAGTATCTTCTGTAAATACATAATACCTTTTACTTAAGTAAAATTATTGTAAATATAATTCTTTAGTTTTAGTTTAATAATAATAATAAATACTCATACTTTTTTTTAATTCAGTCTCTTTTTATCTGCATAAACCTTCTCTCAACTGATAGTAATTGTATGGGAGTATAAAAGTAAATTGAACCAGGGCAAAACCACGACATCTGCCAATTTAGACATCCTCTAGGCTTCCTTTACAGCTGATTCCATGTCTCTGCTTTAAGATTACTTGTGCCATGCTCTACATTATCGATTTGATCCACTTATAATGAAGGGATGCAGAGGCTTCAGCACACTTTGTGAAGAGTTTGGCAACTGAAAAAAGCAAGCTCTCCTAATTTACAGGAAAAATAATTGGAGTCAATAAAAAGGTGAATGGAAAATTGTATGTGACCATTCATCATTCATATCTCTGCCCATTTTTTTTATCTCCCAGGCTATTCACAAATTCTTTTAATTCACAGTTTAGTGCTTTCTCTTTGAACTTTGATTCCTGCGTTCCTTAATACCTAACATGACAAATTTAGGCAGGATTAAAGAGAATAATGATGTTCTTTCTTTATTGTATCTCACAGCCCTGGTTCTTTCCAAACCAGACTAAATAAAAGTCAGCTACTCGAGAGGATGTGTCCAAACTGACTAACTCACAAAATAGAGAGATGCTGGTTTTCCTCTGGCTGTTATCATGTTTCCTCCAAATGTAATTAAAAAGGGATATAAGCATGTAATCCAGTATGACTTAGTAGACTACTTTCCCAAACAGAGCAGCTGATAGTTTAAGGGAAGTGCATTCAGATTAATTAATAAAGCAAATGCTTTTAGCTTTACATAATGTGTTTTCATTTCATTATAAATGGCCTGTCTGTTGAGTAGTCAAGAAATACCATATTTTCCCTCCACCATAAAAGATTTGGCACTAATTGCTCAAAAGTGCCTTGGTAGGAATAAAATACATCATGATTGAATAGGAATATACATTATTTAACATGTAAAAAACGTAAGATGGCATTAGTTTCTAATACAAAAAAATAATTATTCTAACTGGTATGAAAGGAATTCATTTCCCTTTTACAAACAGAACATGAAATTTATAGGCTAGCATCTTGTAAAGCACAATGGTAGTGTGTCTATTTAAAAGCTGATTTCATTTCATCAAATGTGGATAAGTGGAAGTAATATACAGAAAAAAAAATCCAGATCTTTTTTCCCCAAAGATTCTCTGCTACAAGCTTGTTTAAATAGACCAGTTTCATCCTAGTATTAGGAAGTTCAAGCACCATGGGAAGAAATGGGACAAAATCAGCTACAGAATAGACAGTCCTTTAAAGAAACCTTCATATATAAGTTATTTATATGATAGTTTCTGGGCAGAATCACATAGTTCCCACATAAATATTATTTCCTACTTTGCAAGTAAGTCAGAAACACTCACAGCCTCAGGCCACAGGCAGGCTGTGATTAGACAACCTGATGAAAGAGAGATGCATTTGTTAAATTCAGGTGTTTGTTGGTATCAATAGCTATATGTCATCATCTGCTGACAAAGAACAGTGATTTCCAGGTATCATGATAAAAGGGGCATTTAAGGAAATATTGAAATGCGAAAAAGTTAATAAATACACACAGTTTGATTGAGAGCTCATCCCAAAAACAGGAAACAGACCAGTGGTTTGGTGGTTTCGGTGGTCAGGTCTGGTCTGGTCTCTGGTGCCCATCAAAGCTTCTCTATCACTCCCTCCTCACCTGCACAGGGGAGAGACAAATACAATGAAGAGTCTGTGGGTCAAGACAGGGACAGGGAAAGATCATTCACCAGTTACAGTCATGAGAAAAGCAGACTTGGGTAACTCATTCAATTTTTTACTTTGAGAGGATTAGTAATGAGAAAAATGAAAATTAAATCTTAAAACACCTTACCCTGGCCCCTCCCTTCTCAACAGGTTCAACTTCATTCCTGATTTTCAGTACTCACTCATCTCCAGCTACTCAGGACAGGGAATGGGATCTGAGATCAGTTCATCACACATTGCCTCTGCCACTCCTTCCTACTCAGAGAGAGGACTCCTCTCACTCTTCCCTCTGCTCTGATGTGGGGTCCCTCTCACAGAAGTCAGTCTTCTGTGAGAAGAAGTCAGATTTCTCCAACACAGCTCTGGTGTGGGTCCCTTCCTTGGGGCCCAGTCCTTCAAGAACCGGTTTCTCCAGTGTGTGTCCCACATGGGGTCACAAGTCCTGCCAGCAAAGCTGCTCCCACATGAGGTCATCTCTCCACAGGTCCACAGGTCTTGCCAGGTGCCACCTCAGGGAAGTCTTCCTACAGGGTCATCCACCTGCTCCAGCATGGAGTCCTCCATGGGCTGCATGTGGATCTCTGTTCCAGCATGGACCTCCATGGGCTGCAGGGGAATATCCTACCTTACCACTGGCTTCACCACAGGCTGCAGCAGAATCTCTACTCAACAGACTGAAGCACCTCCTCCCCCTCCTTCTTCACTGACCTTGGAGTCTGCAGAGCTGTTTCACTCATGTATTCTCACACCTCTCTTCTGACTGCTGCTGTTCAGCTGGGATTTTTCTCCTGCTTAAGGACATTATCCCAGAGGCACTGTCACTGATGCTGACTGGCTCAGCCTTGGCCAGCAGCAGGTCTTCTTGGATGTGAAGGAAGGTTTTGGCAGCTTCTAACCTGTAACCCCTCTGCTACTAAACCTTGCCATGCAAGCCCAGTCCACAGACTAGCATAACACAGCTGACTGTCTGACAGTTGATTGCACAGAGTTTAAGACTGCACAGAGTTTAAAAGGATAAATTATATACCATTAGAGAGAAAACAAAAGAAACAGCTTAGCTGAAAATAAGTGATAGATACATTGGTTAGGTGTTTTCCTTTCTTCCTGTACTACTGTCAATAAAAGCAAAACAAACTACAATGAAGCTATTGATATCCTGCTGTTAAAGGGATATCCTAAACCTGTGAAATGTTTCCTTTTTAATTGCCTGTTGGTAGAAAAAAATAGATGAAAGGCTGAAAAGAAGATACACCACAGAAATCCTGGTGCTTCCACTAAGTCACGAATTTGTTAGATTTGTTGTATTTTCTTGTTGTGAAGAATTGCTATCACTCCTAATAGTTAGTGGAAGACAATCTTAAATCTGCAACTTAGTCACACCCTCACAAAGCCAAAGCCTTATAACATGAGAATAAGTTACCTGACAGTCTGGGGGCATCCCAAGGACTTTCTCATCTCATGAGGGTTTTTGTCTTTTATGGGAATGACTCCAAATTAATTTCATCCGCTCTTCTTATTTATTGATTATTCAATCTAGTGCAATATTGCTCTGCTTCCTTTAATCTGTTATTCTTAAGCATATTCTGTCCAAAAAGGTTCTGAGAGATATTTTGGACATTGGGCTAATATCCCATCTTATTGTCCTTCATGAAAAGCCTATAAGAACAGTGCATCCTTGTCCATAATAACCTGGCAACTGTGGCTACAGTCTCCCATGTTACCACAGTTACAGTCAGAATTCCTGTACAAAGCTGTTATTTACAATGAATATTTCCAATGGGACTTGAAGGAAACCACAAGAACTTATAGTCCTCTCTGCCCTAATGTTATTTTGATGGAGTTGGCTGAGCAAACTTGAGGGTGTTGTAATGTCCAGTGTAAATAGTTGCCCAGCTGCTGTGGAGATTCAAAACATTAAAAACTATAGAAAAAAGATGGGCTGGAAGAAAGCATATGAAATAAAATAAGTTGGATTTTTCAATCTAAAAATCTGAACCATCCATTATTTTTCAGGTTGGAAAATGTGACTAGTTCTATTTCTTAGTCAGCCTTTGATTTCAATGTCATTGTCTAACAGATCAAGCAAGTAGCTCCAGTGATTGATAACAGTACATACTGCTGCCACTGAAGGGACCTGTATTGCCACACCACAAGTAAAACACATAATTTAAGCACTTGCATACATTTTAAAAATACGCATTCTGGCTCTTCATATTGTACCCCCAACACTACTACTGATGCAACTCTGCTTAAGATCTTTCTTTTGTAATTAGATACATTTTTCCCTGAGTTAATATGTTTGTTTTGGGAAATGTACCATGTCAATGTAGGGCAAAGTATAGCAGCTGCAGGTATTAGCACAGCATGGCAACAAAACTTCTGCTAGAGCAGTGCATAAAGGGAAGAGCAGCCCATATAAATGAGACATCACACAAGCACACCATCTGTACCCTGAGGCTCTGTTCTCCAAAATTAGGAAGGAGGGGAGTTGTTAAGTTTGCTTTGGATTGGCTTTCAAGAAACTAAGCACAATGGGCAAACTTGAGTCCTGTTACAAGCTGATACATTCTGCAGCTGACTTTCCTTATGCCTCGTTTAGAATTCTGCCCACAAAACAGGAAAGTATAGCTCTGGAATTTGTCCCAGGCAGTCAGACCACTGTATGGTATGGAAAGAGCACTACTTTTGCTCACAGTATGTTTTTCAGTAATACAAGCAGCAATGGGATAAATCTGAGTCTGTTATTATGTCCCTATTTAAAGAGAAAGCTAAGATAACATGGATTACAGGCAAAGACAAATGGAAGGAGTGAGACAATTCCATAGAAAAGGACACAGTAAAGGAGTATCTCATGAAAAATTGAGGTATGTTGGATGGTATCCCTACTTTTACTTAACAGTGATTTCCTGAAAAAGTATCTCTTGCTGATAGCGGAGGAAATATCTGAGGAAATTGGAATTAAATACTTAAATGTCAACTGAATCTGTTCTAAATTAAAAGTGAAATTTCTTCAGTAGCGAAAATAAAGTAAATCAGACTTTGTGGGGTTTATCATGATTTAATAACTGGAGTTAAAAATGTGATGAAAGACAGACAATGATAGTTCCCACAAAAAAACTTTTCTAACAATTTCTGAAACAAAAGGTTGCATTCTTAGGGTCCACTAAAGCCTAGTTTAGTGAAAGACAAAAATCAACCTTTATGTTCATTTTCTTTTAAGTATTCATTTCCCCAGGGAGGTTTGCAGCCCCAGGAAAAGTGAAAGCCCACTCAGACTATGCCCCTGCTGTTGTTTGCTGGTGACCAGACAGGCAGAGGTCCAGCTTTACCTCTGCACTGCTGAAGAGCTACAACTGCTCTGATAACCCCAGCTGGACACAGGTATACCAGAAATCCCTCACTCTCATTGCCAGTGGCAAGGTCCTACAGAGAATTGACATAGCTGAAAAAGGAGAGTTTGGGAATCCCAAAGTGCTCTCATGGTTTCTGCCCTCACCCCTTTCTTCTAGCAGAGGCACAGGCTGACTAACAGATTTGAGCTTGAGCTGCTCCTCCCATTTCCCTTCCTAGAGCCTCTTCCTTTTCCTAAACCTCTTCTTCAAACCCAAATGTCACCATTTCCCAACAGAGTAACCTTTGCTGATCTCACCGAGGCTTTCAATACTGTGAGCAGAAAAGGTCTGTGGCAGATTTGGGAACGTTTAGGATGCCCCCTCAAGCTCCCCAAAATGATCACCTCGCTTCATGAGGACCAGCGCAGTCAAGTCAGATATGGCGATGCACTTTCTGAGCCCTTTCCAATAGCCAATGGTGTGAAGCAAGGCTGCGTTCTTGCACCAACTTTATTCACAATCTTCTTCAGCATGATGCTCCAAAGCATGAGGCCACAGCAGACCTCGATGATGAAAACAGTGTCTACATTTGATATCGTACGGACGGGAGCCTGTTCAACCTAAGGCGACTGAAGGTCCACACTAAGACCTTAAATTATCTTATCCGTGAGCTGCTTTACACTGATGATGCCGCCCTCGTTGCCCACACAGAAGCAGCTCTGCAGCGTCTCAACATCCTGCTTTGCAGAGGCTGCTGAGCTTTTTGGCCTGGAAGTCAGCTTGAAGAAGACAGAAGTTTTTATCAGCCTGCACCTCAGGAAGTCTTCCATCATCCCCATATCACCATTGGTGAAACAGAGCTCAAATCAGTCCAGCAGTTTAATTACCTGGGAAGCATCATCTCCTCAGACGGTAAGATTGATGCAGAAATAGACAACAGGTTAGTAAGGTGTACAGAGCTTTTGGTAAACTCCCTAAAAGAGTGTGGCAAAACAAACACCTGAAGAAAAGTACAAAGATCAGCGTTTACAGAGCCATTCTACTGTCTACTCTTTTATATGGATCTGAATCATGGGTCATTTACCGGCACCACTTGCGTCTCTTAGAAAGCTTCCATCAGCGCTGCCTCCATACAATCCTAAACATCCACTGGACTGACTGTGTGACCAACACGTCTGTCCTTGAACAGGCAACAGTCACGAGCATTGAGGCCATGCTGCTGAGAACACAGCTGCGCTGGGCAGGGCACGTCTCCAGGACGCAGGACTATCGCCTCCCTAAAATCGTCCTCTATGGGGAACTTGCCACTGGCTACCACAAGAGAGGAGCCCCAAAGAGGAGATACAAGGACTCTCTGAAAGAATCCCTCAGCCTTGGCCATATTGATCATCACCATTGGTCTGCCCTGGCCTCCAATCGGGAGGCCTGGAGACACACCATCTATAACGCTGCTGCTGCTTTTGAGAACACACGCAGGATCACTCTCGAGGAGAAAAGACAACGCAGAAAGAATCACATCTCGTCGATATCACCTGGGGAGTCTTTCTGCTGTGCCTTCTGCAACCAGACTTGTCTATCTCACATTGGCCTTTATAGCCATCAGCGTGCTTGTAGCAAGCGTGGGTAGAACCCTTCTCAAATCTTCGTTCGCGAAGCCTAGCCATGATGAATGAAAAAATAGCAAAGTCTAATTAATGCCTTATTGAGAAAAGCAGTGTTGTTTTTTAATTGAGGAAACTCTCTGGCTCCATCATTATATGACTAGTAGTTTTACCATCTAGGTTTATTCTTCTAAAAGAAGCATTCAGTTTGTCATTTCTTTTCAGTTTTCCACGTGAAGCAAAGTTTGTTGGGAGAGGCAGTACCTTCTGACAAAAAAAAATCAATTGGTCTGCTAGGAGATATTCTCCCTTGCCTAACTCATGCCTATGAACTTCCTCATTTGCAAATCCCAGCAGTATTACAACTTTTTGTTTTAGACACTTCTGTGATTCTTGAATTTTTAAAAACAGCCACTTCTAGTGGAGGGAGATGGGGGAAGGCACCGAGGAAAATTCTTACCTCTTTTGCTGTACTTTTTTGCTTTGGAGTGTGGCTGAGGCATAATTAACAATCATAATCAGAAGGAAAAAAGCAAGAGTGTTTCCTCATTTTTGCAAAGAATTCTTCTAGGAATCTTCCATACAGGAGTCACTTATCAGTTTGAGTGTACAAGAAGAAGAGGGATAGAAAGATTTGTAGCAATAGGAGTCATCTGGCCTGGTAGTACCACCACATTTCTTAATCACAGAATCATAGTATGGTTAGGGTTAGAAGGGACTTTAAAGATCATCTTTAAAGATCATAAAGATTCAAACCCCCTTGCCATGGGCAGGGAAACTGCCACTAGATCAGGTTGCTCAGAAGCCCTATCCAGCCTGGTCTTGAACATGTCCAGGTATGGGAAGTCCACAACTCCTCTAGGCAACCCATTTCAGTGTCTCTATACCCTTACAGTAAAGAATTTCTTCCTAATACCTTACCTAAATAGACCCTCCCTCAGCTTAAGGCCATTCCCCCAATCCCATCACTACATACCCTTGTAAAAAGTTCCTCTCCAGGATTTTTGTAGTCCCCCTTTAGGTACTGGAAGGTTGCTATAAGGTCTGCCCAGGGACTTCTCTCCACCAAGTTGAACAACCCCAGCTTGCTCAGCCTGTCTTCATAGGAGCAGAATTCCAGCACTTTGACCAACTTAGTGGCTCTTCTCTGGGCTTGTTCCAACAGGTCTTTCTTGTGTTGGGGGTCCCAGAGCTTTACGCAGTGCTCCAAGTGGGGTCTACAAGAGCAGAGTAGAAGGAGAGAATCACCTCCCTCAGCCTGCTGTATATCTTTCAAGTCTTTAATTACCTTTGTCATTTGGTGCCTGTCAGTATGATGGAAGTGTTACATTTCCATAGAACAGACTTTATTAACCCTGCTGTCACTTTGTACATGTATGTGCAAATCTTCTCTTCTCCTTTACCTTTGCAATTCAGAGACAAATGGGCCCATGTGTTAGATAGCTATTGACTGAATGCTGTAGCAGTCTGCTGGGCCTTTAGTTATATGTTTATCAAGGACTTTAGTGCCTTAATTGAAATTAGAAGTAATTACTTAGTCACAGATTGAATTAATTTACAAGACAAATTGGTGCTGAAAATCCTATGATTTGGACAGTATTTTATAGTTATCAAATTGAGATTTATTTTTAAAAGATAATGGCTTGATTATGAAATAAATCGAATTATATTCATTAAGTCCTGAATTCTTTTAGTTAAAATATAATTTTTTTTTCTTTTGTCTTTGGACAAGAAAAAGTCCTTTTCTTTATTCACTTGGTGATGATAGGCATTGGTGAGTTTAGGGAAAGCAGTTGTGGGTTTCTGCTTAATTTTCCAGAGCCTCAAGGCTCAGGTAAGTTTAATGTAGGCTACATTACATCACCTATGTGATGAGAATTCATCCTTATTCTTTAAAAATTTTTCACCATATAAGACTGCTTTGGGTTTTTGAAGCAGCCTCCTCAACATCCAACATGACACATCTTCTGTCCCCTAACCTTCACAAAAGAAGAATAAGGGAGGGTTTAAGGAAATAAAGGAAAGAGTTTATGGACATAGTTGGCTTCATTTGCACAATATGAAGGAAAGAGTTTTTTTCAGGTCATTTCCACTTCATAAATTTTGTTACCCTACTTGTTTCTACTCTTGTGGAGTTCTTTTCAAAATACTTGGGGTATACAAAGAGAAAACCTGATACCCTTGAAGAAGGGTTTTATGGGTTTTCTATCAGTTTAGATGAGTTTTGTTGACTGGACTTTGGAAAAACTCAAGTTGTTTCCTATCTGGAGAAGTTTAGCTCTCAAAATGCAGGGGCTTAGCTTTGTTGATTTATAACACACAGGAAAAAACTTGAAATGTAATGTCAGAAGTGAACAAAACAATGGTTTTTGGTAAGAAGCATGGTAAGAAGGAAATTAGTAATGCCAGGATTCTTCCCCCACTCCCCTAGTTTTCTTAACTTATAAAATAAATTTTGTCCTGGATTGAGTAAACGTAACACTCACTGAAGTCAATAGGACATCTTGCCATTTATGCCACGACCTCCCTGACAGTTTACACTTCTTGTCATTTACATTTTTTACCTGCAGTAGATTAAAACAGGAGGAAAGGAAGTGAAAGGAAAGGTATGGAGAGAAGAAGGTAAAACGGCAAGTATAACACGAAGTTATAAAATTTGAGTAGACAAAACCATAAAACTTCTAGGATTTGAACTTGAAAACTTGGGAAAACACTGGAATGGGTTAGTTATATTAATGATTTAAAAATGCATGTTCCCAAAGAAATTTCAGGCAGGACTCCATGAACTCTGCTTACCTGTGTGACTTTTTAATTAATACTACTAAATAATGATTTTACTTTCCACTCAGTTTATACTGGAGTCCTACAGTGCACAACCATTTCCTGAGTAACATGATCAGATCTTATCCCCTCGTTACAGAAGCCTACACTCTGTTTGGCTCTAGTTCTTCATCATAAAGTGGTCAAATTAAAAGGGAGAAAAATAAGCAGAAAAAAAATAAAACTTTAATTGCAAATTTATGCTTTACCAGAGGAATATAGGAGTTCTGTTATTTTTTTTTCCATTACCAACATATTTGCAATTTGTTTATTATTTTGAGGAAAAATTACACATATCAAATTTAGTTTAATTTTTCTATCTTCACTAGAAAATTGGAACAGGGAATTCCTTAACCTTCAGCAATTTTTGCCACAGGAATTCTCATCTGTTTATAGTTTTGAAGTCCAATATAAAATCCCATTTAAAAAGTACTCCATCAACATTAAAACCCAAAGAAACTTAAGACTTATAAAATTTTAGTGGTATAGTGCATATTCATTGTCAGGCTACCACTTCACTTCTCAAGAAGACATTCTGATAAACAGAGTGTATTATCATCTCAGCAAAGAAACAACATAGAATACCAGTTTGGACTGGAAGAGGAAGATTTCTTTCTTTGCTTTCCCATGGAAAAAGCTACACCACAAACTACTACTTCACTCTGAATTCCTAAAAGCAATGAGCAGAACTTTTCCCTCCAACAGCCAATACAGATTTGTGGTTGTTGATTGCATAATTATAAATTGCAAGAAGAAGAAAAAGAAGTACAGTGAAAGCAAGGATAACTTTCTTGCCACTGTGAACTCATACCAGAGCACAGGAGTCACCCAAACATCTTCAATCTGCTTCCACCCCTCCAGTCAGGGTCTGCCATGAGACCAGGATTTTCTCTGACTACTTGCAGTTCCCTCGCGTGGTTCATCCATAATTCTTCTCCAGGCTATGATGTTCCTGTCATAGAAGGGAAAAAAAACCAAACAAAGCAACAAAAAAATAAATGCAACAAAACCAAACAAAATCAAGTTTACAAAAATTAACTTAGATGGATTTTGTTGATATGCCAAAACCTGCATGTAGTTTTCGTAAAGGAAGAATGAATACAAAATGCACAAAATTTGGATTTGTTTACTTTGTCTGAAAATAAGACTAAAGAAGCTTGTTTCCTTTGTTTAATAGGTACATGCTATTTATGTCTGTCATGGCATATTGACACTGTGGCAAATTTAGACCAGTGCTGGCTTCATTTGAACTGGAGATTTGACTCTCCACCCCAGCTAGTTTAGTTTGCTTCACTTCACAACTTCCTTGCAAATATGGTATGAAAGTTTCCAAAGAAGTAAAGCAAATCTGCTAATGGCTGATCTCAGAGGACAAAAAAAACCTCTCTGCTCTTGCTTACTTACAAATCTATCTCCTAAGTTCTCTTGTTTTACCAACCAGAAGATACCACGCTGCTTTGAGTTTCAGTAAAAGTAGATACCAGTGCATAACGTATAGTTTATCCAATGACGTATTATTTTTGGACTACTGTCAGAGGAGAGGAAGAAGAGTCAGTGCAGTAACAAGGTCATTTCTTTTTCTGGATAAAAGTAGCAATATCTTTCCACTGCCACCAGGCTTATAAAAATATTCTGCAAAAGAAAGCTTAGGCAAAATAACATACAAGAGAAAGTTTTACAATGATGGCATCTAATTAACTCCTAACCCTAAACAGAGCACAAAAATCTCCAAGAGTAAATCCTGTTCCAGTAGAAATCTATTCTGGTCCAAAAATGCACTCAGGACAACTTCATTCACTGAGCGGTTAAGAGGTATTTAGTTTTTTGACTTCAAGTTACTGATAAACTTTGGGTCCCAAGCATGTTTTACTTCATTTTTTAAAACCACCATATTCAGCCAAGCTCCATGCTCTCCACCCAGGGTGGATCTCCCTGGGTGCAGTTGAGAGCATGCTATGTAATAGAGGATAATGCTATATTATTACAGTACTTACTATATACAGCCAGACAAATCAAATTACAAATATATTTATCCATACCACATTTTCTAGTAAGCCATGCAACCAATTCCTTATATGTCTGAAGTTTGAAGGAAAAGAGTGTGAGAACTTGGTATGCAGCAGACAGCCGCTTTGTACTGCATATTGAGCCAAATTTTTAAGGAGCTCAGATCTTTTTAAGCCTGATTTTTCCCTCCTTCCCAAAACATTTCAGGTATGTCTGGATGCCAGATGGGTAGGAGAGATGAAACATAGGCATCCATCTGGGGGAGGTTTGCTCATAGTTTTGTCAGAACAACAAATAATAAACCATCCAGATTCAAGCTGACTCTTCCTCTCAGACTTTCTCTGGGGTCTCTTAGAAACTACTGAAGCTGAAAATAGCAAAATGAGTCTTGAGTTTCATTGCACAAGATATTAGACATATACAAGAAAGAAATTTGACTAAAGTAAGACTGGGAGGAAAAATAACAGAGAAGGGTGATCCAGCACAGCACTGGCGGTTTTATGTTCCCAAAATGTATGCAGTCTCAGTGAATATACATTTCAAGCACATTTTCCATTCCTGGCCAAATGTCTTTCCCAGTAATGAACAGCAGATAGACTTCTGGATAGGTAATAATCAAGGCTTATATTCATAACAACTTTTAACTTCTGCAATCAGAATCTCACACCACCCATCTGGGGTTAGTTGCTGCGCTTCACAAGGTAACAGCCAAGGCTGTTACCATGTGGGTCATTATTCCAGTCTTACCAGGTACTTATTTGCTGGGCTCCAATATCTAACATCTGAGTGTCTCATGTTCACAGTGAAACACTGCAAAGACCAGAAACATTCCTTCATTTGACCTTCCTCTTAAATATGCTCATCATAATAAGTGGTGTTTGTCTCACTATACTTGGGTTCTAATTTTGCTTACTCTGGTCATTTTCAGAGTGGATAGATTGTTGGGAGTTTTGTTTGGTTGTTTTTTTTAATAACTCTTGAAATCAGTCTCTGTGAAGCTATCCTCTAGTTTGCCAAATTTCCAACCTGGTTTACTGTTCCACAACTTCAAATGTTATAAGATAACCTCAAATGGGTTAAAGACTAATCTTTCTGATGGAAAACTTAGATACAAGTTATGTTCTTAGTTACCCTTTTTTTCTGTCTTAATACTAATGAGTTTCAAAGTGTTCTGTCAAGTTAATGAAGCATAGTTTTCTCTTGTTGAAAATGAAGTAGGAATCTCTCTTTAAACACTGCTTTTATAAATGTTTCTCCATTTGATCTTCTTAAAACACTTTCTACACTTTTCTTATGTATCAGCTAGTCTCTATCATATTTCATATATTCTTGTGCTTTTGACGACTATCCAGTTTTTGTGATCAGTCCTCAGAAATGTTGCCTAACTGAGTGAACTTGTGAAAATATCTGTGAAAATATCTCCTCTTTCTGTTTCCACTTCTGTAAGATCTCAGTAATATTTTCTTTGGACTGAACACCATGTCAAATTTACAAACTTATAGTGTTCATAAGTATTTTTTGCTGTTGCCCCACTCACCTCTCCAGTTCTGACTCCTTCGTCCTAGGAAGTAAAAAAAACAGAGTTATGCAAACAGTTATCATTCTTTCCTGCAAAATCTGATGCCAGATGAATTCTTGCTATGGTTTTCTGTTCCCCTCATGCCAATCTTGGGTCCTCCATTGCCATCCTTGCAAGTGTCAGTGCTTCTTTACCAACTGCAGATTTTATTTGAAAATTACTTGAGTTATTTAAAAGAATCCTAAAGTTATCCAAGTCCAGTTTGCATGTCTCTTTTCATCCCTTTTCTGTTTTATTTTAAGCTTCTTAATAGTCTCTTAATTCACATACAGAAAGGTCTTTGCATGTTTAAATCACATCAACATTTATGTTTGATCCATAGTAACAAAGGAATGTTGGTTTTCTGTTTTCATTTACCATTAAAGAGCATTCAGCAGAAAATAACACTGCTATACGTGAAAGCAAAAGGGTCTTTATCATTCCATGAAGTTCACAAATGCTTTCACTGTTGAGGACTGCAAGAAAAAAATGCAATTCTCATCTAATCTCACCTCCCATCTAACAAAGAACAAAGAACCTAACTCAACTATTTTTGAAAAGATGCTATTGTTTCTCTTTCAGCTATAGAATATTTTATAGAAAAAAAAATAAAAGAGAGAGATTTCTCCATCTAGATCAAGATAGATATCTTGATTTAAAGGTAGAAAATCCACCATGTTTCAAGGTACTGGTTTTTTTCAGAATTAAATCAACTTCACTTCCAAGTTTTCTTCAGTCTGTAGCCTGTGGATCATGTTAAGCCTTTTGCTGTGGAAATCTCAGTTATTTTCAGAAAATAATTCCCTGTGTAGCTCTTTTTAAATTATGATCATATTACTCCTTAAGGCATTTTAGAAGAAACAGACAGCTTCTTAGGAGCTTTAATTTCCAAAATCATATAACTCAGGGTCTGTCCACTGTACCTTGTCTAACATCTCTATATCTTTTGTGAAGGGTAGACACCAGAATAGTGTAAGACGTTTATGGTTATACCTTCATTTTGGTTCAGTCCCTGTTTCGTTGTAGAGCTCTGGTCCCTCAGAGCTGACACTGAACACAGGTTAGTTCACTCCTGTGCTATGATCCGCAGGGAATCCCGAACTGCTGTCCTCAGGGAATCTAGAATAATGGAAAAGAAATGGCTTTGTCCAGACTGAGTAGCATACAAGCGGCACAGTTTCAAACTTCTACATTTTGCTGCGTCTACTCGAGACAGCTTCTAACGCAATCCCAGACAACCCACACACATTAAACCATCATATTGCACTGATTTTTGAGGAGAACAAAGCCTCTGCAATAGAGTTTCAAAGAAAAAGGTACCTGGGCTATGAAGGCTACCCATCTAGACTTTTCCTTAATTTGCAACAGATTCAAACTCTGGGGGAAAAAATTATAAAACTCTGCAGAGCTGAAAGTGACAGCCTGAGACACAACCGAAGTGATCATTCTGGTCAATGTCTGTAGGGAAATCATCCCATACCCAGCATCTTGCTCCCCAAAGGACATCATGAAAACAGTACTGGGAAAATAAAGGCCTGAAATGCACTTTTATACAGCTGCATTTGTACCTTCAGCCTTGAGTGGGTTAAATACAACTTTACCACTGTCAGACTGGCACCAGATGCCCAAGGAACACACAATCTCAGTGCACATCCACAGAAACAATGACTCATTGAGGCTGATTTTGCTCCTGCCCTCCATTACTCCTTATGTACACTTCCCCTTCACTCCTGCATTGAAGTACCAGCTCTCCACCCATTCCCACAAAAAAGTCCCCCCGTGGTGCCAGAGGTGCTCTCCCTGCCAGCATCAGAGGGTATGGCACAACAGGCGCAGTCATGGGGAAAGTGGGAGGGATCGAGTTAAATCCACGATTCTGCTCTTGCAGGGCAGCCTTTAGATACAAGGATCATGGGAGGGATCTCTTCCACTTACCACCCTCAGGATTCCTTGGGACTTTTGCCCTTTCTTTGCTTGTTTCTTCCACGAAGTGCTGGATGCAGGAGACACTCAGGATATGTGTTGCAAACTGCAGTAGGCACTCCAAACAGCTGTGCACTTGCAGGAGCAAACCAGGGAGACCAGGGTTTTCCAGTAACATGACATCAGTCTGTTTCTGACTGGGAAACAGCAGGGCTGCCAAGCGTCCTTGTCACGGCTACCTCTGCCATGCAGGAGGACACACAGAGATGATAACAGCAAGCTGCAAAGGCACTGAAATACGGCTTTCATGGTAAATGCAAGCTACTTTCTCCGCTCTCCTCGGCTGTTATGCAAACTGACAGGATTTCTTTCCTCCCATAATATCCCACAGAGATTCCCAGAATGCTAAGGATGCCACTGTGAGGTCATGTCTTGCAGTGTTTGGGACATTTACTGGTAGCAGTTGTGTTCTGAGCTACCTTCTGGTAATAGTCTGCCACAGAGTGAGGTTGGATCAAGTGTCTTTACATCAAACCCATATAGCCTTGGGATACAATCAAGCAATACTGAAGAATATTATGTTTTCTAAATATCACTGTGTGCTGCTACACTTACTAAATCATTCTCCAGACATACCCCTGAGGAATAAGAAATTTTTTAGTCCTTGCCAAGACTAACACAAGCCAGTCAGCCCAGTAGCTGCAGCAGATTGTTTGGCAGAAGACACTGAAGGCAGTTCTGGACTAACTGCCCATGCAGTCTTTTACCTGAGAAAAGAACCAGGATAGTGTGAAAAGGGCAGCACTGCTGGGTGCTGCAGAGCAGGGACCTCTTTGCTGTATTACAGTAACTCCAGTGCTTCCATCCATCTGCCATCCACCTGCCATCCACCCGTGCTGCTCTGACCTTTTCTCCAAGCCATCTGCCTTTGCAGGCTTTGGCACTAGCAAAATACGTATTGCACATGGGAGCTTTGGAGATGCAAACCTGTAAGGAAACAAATGTGCCCTTTGCACTTCTTTTTGAACACTTTTTAGTTCATTTTATGTGTTGATAAGCTTTTAGTAAGAATATGATTTGTGGTTAAATTAAATCTGTTACAGGAGTCTCCAGTTAGGTGTGTGTGCTTGACTGTGACGGAATATGGAAGTTAAAGTTGCCACTCATAAGACGAACTGCTGTAACTGCTTCACACTTTCTGTCTCCAGAAAGTGATATATCTTAAACTTTAAGCCAAACTTTAGCTCAAATCTGGAATGCCCTAAAAGAATATTAATTATTTTTAAGCAAGATCATCACCTACGTTAATAGAGTTAAAAGATGAGCTTTTCTTCTAAGAATATTTTACACACTATTGTTTCAATCTAACTTGTAATAGATTCATAAAAACCTTTATCTCAAAAACTTACAGATTAATTATCCATGCTGTGAGCCTTTATATTTTTGTTTACTTTATTCTATAACTACTTTTCTGCAGCTCTCTCAAAGGCAAACATCAAGTCATCTATTTGATACTTATATGGACAATATCCTCTGCCCATCTTACATAAGGACATATCATTTACTTTTTTCTAATTTTCCTAACTCCCACAGTGTCCCATGGCATGTTAATGAAAGAGTTTCCATCCCTATTCTTCCAGAAATTTTTAAAGAAATTTATCTAATCTTTGGCATTCACAAACATTATAAATATTTCTTACGTTTAACAAACATAATTGCATGCAGCTCATTCTTCTTTCTTTAAAATTGTAGATATTTAAATCATATAAATACACAAACCCACATGCCATAATTGTTTTTTGTCACGTGGTGATCCATAATGTAGCACTTGAGGTACAAATATGGTCAGAAAAATAATCACACAAAATATTCTTTAATAGAATCATACTATCATTTAGATTGGGAAAACCCTTTAACATCATTAAGCCATTAAGCCAGCACTGCCAAGTCCTCCACTAAACCGTGTTCTTCACTGCCATATCTACACATCTTTTAAACACCTCCAGGGATGGTTACTCTGACACTTCCCTGGACATCCTGTTCCAATGCTTGACAGCCCTTTTAGGGAAAATATTTTTCCTAATATTCAATCTAAACCTCTGCTGGTGCAACTTGAGACCATTTCTTCTCACCTGTCATTTGTTAATCAGAAGAAGAGACCAACTCCCACCTGGCTACAACCTCCTTTCAGGTAGTTTTAGAGAGCAATTAAGTCCCCCCTGAGCCTCCTTTTCTTCAGGCTAAACACCCCCTGCTACCTCAGCCACCCTTCAGAGGACTCATGCTCTGGAACCTTCACCAGCTCTGTTGCTCTTCTTTGGGAGTACCATACCACTGGATTTTACCTCAACATGTTGATTTCCTGGCTCTAATTCCAATTTGATTTATATTGGACTCACACTAGTGTAAGTGCATTGGCTCTTCTGATTTTGACCCTATCTGAACATATGCATGTTAAAGGAAAACACTGTTTCAAATTCCTGTTTGCTTTCACTCAGCCCACCTTACTTCTGCAGATAACAACAATTTTATCACTGTTAATAATGCAAATCCAATATGCTCAGGAATAAGTGATTGGTAAGTTATTTTGCTTCATGTATTATTGAAAAAATTGTCAGTCAAATCTGTCATTGCAGGTTATTTATTGTAACCAGTAGAGATAGTAAGAAGCTTAGGTTTTCTATCTCATTTCCTCAGTGCACTTTGTAGTTATGATAAGTAGGAAGAATATTAAATTTTAACTTTCGAACTCAACACAAGTTATAAACTCAATCCTTGACTGGTTTTCACAGCTCAAAACGGATGTAAATTTGTCATCAGGATGATCTATTGATGTTTTGCATGCCTTTTGCATGCAGATCACTGGTTATATAAGGACATAGTACTTAATTGTTAGAATATATTTGTATATTTATGTATTTGCATTTATTTGTAAGTATCTACATTCACTCGATTTGAGATGCATGTCAAAACAAAGCTAGCTGAAATTATTAGACCTTTTTCTCTAGATTTCTTCTCATCTGAGAATCAGTGTAGCTCCTCTGCATTAATATGTAAACTTACATGTGATAAAGTATAAAA